CTTTTTTTTTTTTTTTTTTTTTTTTTTTTAATGAATTTGTCATTTTCGAAAATGAAAAGTAACCTTTTGTTCTTTCGGATAGAGCGATAAAGGTTTTTTAAATTGCACGCCCCGAAGAGATTATTTTATGCTTTATTAATACAATGTATTCGCGAGTTAAGAACGCTTGAAACATGAAAAAAATTACGTTAAATTTAACCCGAGAGAGAGAGGGAGGGAGGGAGAGATTCGCGCTACGTTTCATACCGTACACGCATCCGTACATGAATTCACGGAGGATTAATTTTACTTTTCACCAGTAACATGGTAAATTGTTTCATTCGTTGGTTTTGAGAACGATTACGACTGAAAAATTTCAATCTACTGTCTGGAACATGTTAAAACTTTTCCATTTTCTGTTCACTTTCATCTCAAAAAATGTATTTAAATGGATATGACGCGTGGATACACGGGGAGAACATCTCACGTCTTTATTACTTTGTTATTACCGTTTCGCAAGAATTCTTTTTAATCTTGCTCTTAATTAATACAAGCGTTCCCTCTCGAAAGGAAAAATTCGTATCCATTCCAGTTGGATCGTCGATCGTCTCCCCTCGTGATAGATCTCTAGCCCTAATATATATTTCTATCGAATACGAATGGAACCGATGAGCACGATTTCAATCGAAGCTATCGAATCCGGTTACGAGCGAATTTCTCAAGGAGGAACGATATTTAAACAAACTTTGGGAGGAAACGGGAGTGGAAAGTGTAGAGACGGGAGGCAAAGCGTTCCAAGCTGTCCCAACCCCCGATGTCGTTTCAAAAAGGTCGCATCACGGAGTTGGTGGTCGAAGCTAAAAAACTTGAAACACTCGAAACCGACCACCGAACTGTAAAGCGAATTACGGGCTCTCGTTATTCGTGGACCACGCGTTTCCACCCCGTTTGCTCGACGAAAAATTTTGAATCCTCCGTTTGAAGCACCGATCGAAACTTTTAACCAGAGAGTTGCGAAAATTACGCGCTTTTCGACCACGTGAAAATTGGGCAAAACAGGCCCTCCCTCGTGAACGGACGATTCCTCGAGCCGGGAGGAGCGGCGTATGTGGCGCTCGTGTAAACGACGGCGAGGTTTCGTGCGCGTTGAAATTTAGATAAAAATCAGAGGCTTTGTGGCCGTTTTTCTTTTCTTTTCTCTTTCTTTCTTTCTTTCTTTCTTTCTTTCTTTTTTTTTTCGTCGATCTTTGCCCTCGGTGTAAATGCGAGGGTGGTTAAGGGACACGGACCGTGGCAACGGAAAATAACGAATTAATAATGGAAATACTTTGGCTCGGGGGAGCGTGTGGCCGAGGAGATCTTAATTTAAATGAACAGTAAATTTCCGATTGCGCGGAAGCCCGATATTACGTACAATCCGGCCACTGTCGCCAGCCGGCTCGTACTTGTAGCTCGAATTATTGCCTTTATCTTAATTAAAACGGAAAGAGGTCCGTGAGCCGTGCAGGTCGCTCGTAAAGCGTCTTGCTTTGATTGCAGAAACAATACCTTACTAACCTCGTAGTCAGCGATCTATCTATCGCTCTC